AAAAAATGCACAGAAATAAAAACATAATTACCAAGAAAACCTGTAGAGCTCTTTAAACTGCTAAATAATAAAGCATTTAAAATACATTATTAATAGACATTGTTCCCTATGTTGTTGTTGCCTATGAACAAGAACTTTGACAAATAGCGACACCTTGTGGCCATGTGTAGTAAAATCACGACAGCAGTTTGGAAGAAAAACAAGAGTCAAGCAGCTCTTTTTAAAAAGATTATATATTACAGAAACAAGAATTTAAAAAAATTACTTACAGACATTATAAAATACTTTTTTCTTTTTTCAGCACCATATTTTTACGTTGAAACGGCTTCAACACAATAAAAACAAACAAATAGTTGAGGTCATTCTCGCTGGAGGAGGGCAGATTTTTTTGGTTTTGGCTTTTTCGGTCATCCATCCTCCGGTTTCCTGCTATATATATATTTTAAAAAAGCACAAACAAATAAAACCAGAACCCCAGAATTAAATTGCCCCATCATTTTTCACTTTCCATCCCACAGTGGCGGACGACCTTCGCCCCCCTGCCTCTCTCACAGCCTCTCTCTCCCCCGTGGTGGTTCAGTATTTTTACCGTCACAGCTCAGATCGACGCAGACTTTAAGTAAAAAGTTGTTCCACGATTGCAAACCTGCAAAAGCCAACGAGTGAAACAGCAGCAAGGACAGGGACGTGACAGAGGTGGAGAGTCACCGTTTAATCATTACAGTGGAAGCAGGATGTAACAGCACAGTACAGTCGATGCAAACACTAAGACGGGATCTTACAGTAACGTGTGGCCACAGATTCTTATTTTTATTCCGTACAAAAGAAGTTTGAACAGGGCGGAGCACCGCGGTGAGTTTGACCTTCAAGTGTCAGCTGCAGGAAATAAATACAAACCACATGTGACTGAAATATTGGTTGGTTCTTGTTTTTTTAATCTCAAAGCACCCTGTTAGTTTTAAATAAATACAATAGAATATCACTATTTCTGTACAAATGGTATGTAATGCACATCTTCCCCAGGTACAAGCTTCATGAATTAGAAGAGACTACAGGAAGGAGTCGGAGTGGACCTTTGACACGTTTGTGTAATTAGCACCTTACCACACAGGTCAGTAAAAGCGTGCATTTTTATTTGCTGCTGCAGGAAAAACAGGAGGAATCTCTGAAGCTCAGACATGTTTAAACACTGATGGAAAACAACAAAGAGTCCAGACTCAGCGAACACCGGAGCGGCGTGGTGTTAGCGGCCTCGGTGAGGAGTGATTTAAAGAATCAGGTCTTTAAAAAAAAGGCACCAGCAGCATGCAAATACAACAGCACTGCATTTAGCACAGTTTACAAAATGAATGGCTTTGATTTCACTGATCACACGTGTCTCCTGCTTCGTGCATGCATCACATCGGCTCAGCGCGGTCTCGCTCCTCTCGGGTGGAGGAGGGATTGTCCTGCGCCTCGCCACACGTTAACCTCGGTGCTCAGTTCCCTGTGTTTCTGCCGCTGTCGTTAATTCTTTGGTTCCTTAAAGCGTAAAAAGATCTGAATGCTACTCTGTAAACAGCATGACTGAAGAGTCGCCCCTAATGACCTCACAAAGAGCCTCATCTACAGCTCAGGGGAACGTTTCTGACCTCTGGCTGTTCTTTTATGGTCACGTTTGTCTCCTGTTTTGATTTCGTGTGATTTTAACTGCATCACAGATAAAGGCGGCTGCACGGGAGCCTCTCGCAGCCCAAGCGACCGTCAGTCATGCTGCCTGCAGAGTGAATGTAGCTTAAAGAAGTGGGAATGAGTGTGACCCATTTCTGGGAGGAGATGTTGGATGGGGAGGTAGAGGGGGATCAGAGACGGGGGCTTCGGACCTCAGGTTGCCGGCTCGCTCTCAGGTCGGTGACGTTAAAGAAAACACTGTTTTATGTTGAAGAACGCTCCCTCCTGGCTTTATCTTCGTCTCTCGCGGCGG